CCCGCCCCTGTTCCTTCCCCCCCACCCCGGCCCCGGGCCTCCTACCGCGTCCCGGCCACGTGGCTCCCACCCCATCCCAGCCCCGCGGCTCCTACCGCGTCCCGGCCGCGCGGCTCTCACCCCATCCCGGAGCAGTCTCTCCGTGGCCTCGCATGGTGCAGTAGCACCGTGCTCCCTTCCCTGCTTTCCGGCTGCCTTTTTTGAACACGTTCTGCTCGTTCCATGCCTGCCCTTATGGAAACCGGGAAAGTCAGGCTTTGTACTCTGAGGCTGACAGAGGGTGTTTTAAGTGCAGACTGTGTTAGTGGGTTTTCCTTGCAAATGACAAATCCATTGACTTTTCTCCCTCTCTTCCGCTCCCCTCCAACTTTTAACTATTGTCACCCATTGTTTGCTTTTGTATTAATAACAGAGCCCAATGTCTTGGCAAATGAAATGATTTAAGACAAAGAAAAGTGCCCACATTAAATTCTGCGGCAGGGGATTACCTTGGTGGCATTTACATATCTATGGTATAAATATTTTAACATGTTAATTATACACTAATAAGAAAAATACCTTTTGAACTTTCAGTCAAATTGACACACACAGAACTGAGTCCGTCAGGGAATTAAAAGCAATTAGTTTGGTAACAGAGCGTAGTCACATTGTTTCTTCTCTGCAAATTGTTCTGTGGTCGCCCCTGAGCCTTCTTTTTGCCGAGCGCTTGTATAAAGACTGACAGGGCCTGGCGTCTCCAGCTGCCTTAAAAATACAGTATTTATTTTGCATCAGAGGCGTCTCTGCCTCTAAGGAGGGCAGCAGTAGCTTTGGTGGACGCGTACGCGAGCTCGCCCTGCCGTGCTGCTCAGCGCCAGCTCCTGCCCCCGACCAGCAGTTTCCCTGGGAAAAAGGTGACTGCCGCCCCCAAACGGGTCCTTTTTCAGGTGCAGGATTTGCTGGTTGCTTTGCCTTGCAAACCCGACTGCTCCCATTCTTAGATGAATCAGACTTGTAACTGTCTCCCTTTTCTTTTCCTCCTTTCAGACTGAAAACTACTCCTTTGATTCCAACTATGTGAACAGCAGAGCTCATTTAATAAAAAGGTACGTAGGTTTGCTTGAAAGTGCTTTGGTTTGCCTAGCCAAATCCTGATTATTTAATGTTTTTTCTTGCTGCGTTATATACTACTTGCTTTTTTAACATGCAAAACGTTTCGAGAATAATCATCTGGTTTTAAAAACAGTATTTACTTCCTACTAAGTCCAATTGCTCTTGGTTTTCAGTAAAGGAAAGTCTTTTTTCTTGTGTTTGGCTCTTTCACACTGGGAAGTTGCGGTGAGTTAGGCAGAGTGCTGTAACCCGGACAACTTTAAAACAGATAGAGTTTATTCTGTCTGAATGGACAAGAATCAAATGATAGATTGGGATGGTGAGATCTCTCTGCCACATAAGGTGGCGGGAAAAAAATCTTATTTGGGGGCAGCTAGTTTGATATTTGCTCGCTGTTTTAGTTTGAATACCAAGGCAAAATAGCGTTTTACTGGGGTTTTTTTTTCCCCCTTGGTAAAGAGTAAATCATCAGCTCAGTTGCAACCTCGCAATTAGCCTTGGGTGAATTTAACCCTCTGGGTAAAATTCTACTTTTCTCAGTGTCCTCAGAATTTTCCAGGGGCAAAGAAGTGACTCCAGTACCTTAACGTCTTGGTTATTCCAACTTAACCCCGTTGACTCATTAAAATAAACAAGTGGTGAATATCCCCCTGTAGGGGAAGGTCTCCAATCTGTCCTCTCCCTCGCTTTCTCTTTCCAAGGCTGTAAAAGACACTGACACAGCAGGATCGATACTAATCAGGAGGCCACAGCGTAAGGCTGGAGGTCTGTCTCCCCGCGCGCCCTGGAGCTGCGCGCTGCGGGGTTTGCTAATCCCCCTTTGCAGGATGAGGTTAGACAGGCCACAGGAGGTGGCCAGCAGCTATTTCCACCATCTCCCTTCGCTTTTCCTCCACCTCTCCTCCATGCGCTGCGCTTTCTCCAAGGTCCAGCGTTTAAAGCAAAAACCGAATGCATTGCGGAGTTTTTTCCGTGCAGTCTGCAGAAGTCAGCGTGGCGGCAGAGATGTAACGGAGAGCAGAAGTGGGCCCTGAACTGTTTAGATCTGATTTGAGCAGTAAAAAAAAAATCCAATTATCTTGCTGGCTAAGATCCCATTTGTTTGCATCTTAAAAATATAAGGGAGCCGCAAGTGCAGGGTTTGAGCAGCTTCAGCTGAGCGAGTGGAGGGCAGGTATATTTGTCTGCGTTGCTCATGATGTTTAATGATGCTAATGTGATTGCGAGCGAGATGGGCTGCCTGCGCCGTATCACTCCTCATGAGGCATCCTGAAAAAAACCCAAATTTATTAATATCTTTCCTCATTCACACCTGACATAAAGGCAAGCAGCGCGCCCGCCTGCCACGGCAGGGTTTACTCCGCCGCTGTACTGTCTGGGAAATGCTGCGACTGCCGGTTCTCGGAGGCCTGCCCGTCCTTTAGAGAAGTGTCAGCCGCGGAAACATGGTGTGTGGCTGCTGCATCAGGGTCTGGTTCACTGCGGGGAAGAGAAACGCGTTGTAACGCAGATTGCCTGCGCGTTATGAACAGCGGCGCCGTGTAGGACAGAATTTCCCCTCGCCTTCTACCTTTGTCTTGTATCTTAAGTGCAGCGGATGCCAGGGACGCTGTGCAGACACCCGAGAACAAAAATATTTTCTGTAGCATACTGTGGCATCGTTTTCATCCTTTGCCTTTATGAAGATGTTGTAGTGCCTCTATCTTTGGTGAGTGAATCTCCTCAAATGCAGCACTTTAATTAATCTATTTGTACTTTTCCTGTGTTGTCTGCCTGCCTCTCTTGCCTATATACGCGCACACAAATGAATTGTAGATTTGTAGTGCTTTCTTAACTTAAAATTCTTTGATGTTGCCTGGAATCAGTCAGTGGCTTCAACAGGGACATCTTTATTTAAAAGGTAATGTTTGAAGGTTTACCAATTTATATGTATTTCAGAGTTCCCCCCTCGTGTGCTTTTGCAGAGCATCAAATGGTAGGTGGTCGGCTTGGTTTCCGTGGAGACGTAAAAGGGCTGTACAAAGCAATGAAAATCTGCAGCTCTTTGGTGCTTTGAAGCACAGGCCGTTTCTTATCCTGAGCGATTTCAAACCACATCAGCCAGTGAGAAAGTTTGATGCTGTTTTGGTGCTGGTGCAAACCGATGCCCGAAGCGGGTGCAGCCGAAGGATTCTGCCTCCTTGCAGCAGGCGCTGGAGGGCAGGCTCACCCGCCTGTCACGGGTGAGCGTTGGCTCTCTCCCAGGCCTTCTCGGGTGCTTTTTCTGGCCGCCCTCCTTTCCCAAAGGGTTTCCTTCTCTCTCGCGGTCTGCCTGTGCCTTCTGATTTTCTACTTCCAGTCCAGGCAGTAACCAGCTCATTCCCTGTGCTTGTGGTCACAGTGGTTGTCCTCAGTGCCCCTCGCATGAGCAGTGGGCACATTTCGAGATGTTTTTGTGTCTCATTTTAGTCTGGTGTCTTTGGGCCAAAAATGAAAATCTTCTTGCCCTCCGTCCTCCCTCGGCTGCTGCCAGGAGCTGGGTGACTCCAGGAGACGGATGCCCATTCTCTCCGTGGGTAGGCTGAGGCTTTGTAAAACACATGGACACCAAGAAGTATCCCTCCCTATTCCTGCTTTCCGACTGCCTCTCTCTGCCTTTCTGGGTTAGTGGTAGAGCTGTTTTCTTCCAGGTGCCTGCGGCTGTCGGGGCCCTGTGGATATCTGCAGAGATATCTGCAGGTAGCAGAAGCAGACTCTTCTGTTTCCTGTCTGTCTGGACGTGCTGGTCGCTCGTCTGCTGCCTCATCCGACCCAGGATGCAGTTTTTCCTTTGTTTTGATAACAGCAAGTTCGCAGGAATGTGCTGCCGCTGGGTTTCCCTTCCCCGCGGGCACGCCGCCAACACGAGGACATGGGAACTTACGGACCAGACCAGCCCCGACGTCCCCCCACCCCAGTGCGGACTTTAGCAGGGGCCGGTAGCCGTGATTTCAGAGGAAGTCCGGGGAACTTGATTGCAATACCAGATCTCTGTAAAAATATATGAACTTGGACCCAGAACCAGCGGGTTATTTTTAAAAATAAGAGTGATGTCATCATCATGAAAAGAAACTCCCTTCTCTTGGAGGCGCTTTATTTTCAAACTTTAAGCTGTTAGAGTTTGGTCTATAACCAGATAAGTTAGGGTTTAGATCTCTTTTTATTTTCCATTGTAGGTGATATAGCCGGCG